TGGGTGGGTGGGTGGGTGGGTGGGTGGGTGGGTGGGTGGGTGGGTGGGTGGGTGGGTGGGTGGGTGGGTGGGTGGGTGGGTGGGTGGGTGGGTGGGTGGGTGGGTGGGTGGGTGGGTGGGTGGGTGGGTGGGTGGGTGGGTGGGTGGGTGGGTGGGTGGGTGGGTGGGTGGATGGATGGATGGACGGTCGGACGGGCAGATGGACGGACGGGCAGACAGATGGATGCAGGCACAGAACCATGTGGCATGACTCACCCTCGCCAACAAGGTGCGTGCCATTGGCAGCGGGTTGCATGTGAACGGGCAGGAAGCACCCGGTGCGGTGAGTCCAGCGGTTGAACGACCCGCGCATCCACACGTTCTGCCGGCCGTGCAGCACGGTGTTCTGGGGGTTGTAGAACACGCGCACCGTCTCCCCTGCACGCGGATCAGCAGGCTCCGTGTAGAACACGTGCGCCTGCGACTGCAGGAACGCCTCCTTGGTGCGCCGCTTCATCGCCAGCTTCATCTCCTGCCGCCTCGCCGCCTGCCAGAGTGGGGCGACGCGTGTGCGGGCAAGGGAGCGGGATGGAGAGGCGGCAAGGGGGCGGTGTGGGAGGAGCAGGCGAAGCGGCATGGCGAGCAGCACGGTCTGGCGTTTGCTTGGTGAATTCGGCACACCGGATTGGGGGGGTGTGGTGTGTTTGAGGGAATGCCTGTGCGTGTTATTCTTTCTCGAGGGAACATGCCCGTGGTGGCATTTGAGCGCACTCAGAAGCCATTCATTCCGACAGGACTCACGTGTGTTCATTCGTTCAGGCAACACGTCCACAGTGACCCAAGCGGTGGGCGTGAGTGGGGATGGGTGGGGGTGTGAGTGCACACGAATGAGTGCGGATGAGATCTTGCAGTGTAGATACACGTGTGTGAAAGTGTGTGGGTGTGAGGGAAGGAGATGTTCCTTGTCAACGCTATGCAAATTGGCCACAAGTGTGTGCGCTTCTAGATTTCCTCTTCCCCTGTAATCGTGGTTCGCCTTCCTTTCATCCCGTCCATGCACCCTCACAAATCACCCACACCCACCGTTGGCACCCCCCCCCCCCCCCCCCCCCCCAACTCCTCCCCCCACTGGCTCACCTCCTTGGCCTCGCGCTCCTCACGAGCGATTCTCTCTTTCTCCAGCTTAACCAGCAGCCGCTCCTCCAGCTCGTCAAACAGCGCGCGCGCCTCGTCATCGCTGCCCACGCTGGCCGCGAAGTCCTTGCGCGCGTTGTTGTCATACGCCCCCGCCTTGCCCACCTCCCCGTCCGCCATCACCCAGTTCAGCACCACCGCGTCCGCGGGCAGCGTCACTGGGGGGGGAGGGGGAGGACGGGGGAGGACGGGAGAATGAGGGGGGCATGGAGATATGATTGGGTGGGGGGTGTGGGGATGTGCAAGGGAGACGGGAAGGAATGGGGGACTGGGGGATAAGGGAAGAAAAGTATGTGGAAGACGCTAGTCTTCAAGTGAAGGGATGGGGCGAGAGATAAGGGGAGGTGTGGGGGGAGGGGGGTGTGGGTGTGGGAGGGGTGAGTAAGGGCCACTCACGCTGCACGGACCACCAGTCGCCGTTATCCTTGTTATCTGGTTTCAGCTCGCCCGTGGCGGACAGACCGTCCTGCCACCCGTTGATCCCCCCGTGCACCCACACCGCGCCACTGCCCGCCAGCGGTCGCCCCGCCCTGTTATACAGCAGCCGCACAACGCGCTCCCCCTCCTCCGCCCGCCCCACCTCCTCCAGGCGCCACACGCCTTCGAGGCTCGTGCCGCACGTGCGCCGCATCTCCCCCAGCCGGTTCCGCGCGTCGTTCGCCATGTCGCGCGCCTGGTTCCGCTCCGCCTCCTGCTGCGCCTTCAGCTTCGCCGCCCTGCGCTCCTCCTCCGCGCGCCGCTCCCGCTCCGCCTCCTCCGCTGCCTCCCGCTCCGCCTCCTCCCGCTTGCGCTCATTAAGCATGGTCTCGAACTCCGCCTCGGCCATGCCGCCAGTGACGGCGATATAGAAGTCCTGTCCGCCATTGTTCTCGTACACGTTGTCCGTGCTGTGGAAAACAAAGTCCACCTGGTACGCCTCTTCTGGAATGTGGATCTGGCACACCCACCAGTCGTTGGGCACTTCGGTGGACGGTTTAAGCTCCGCTTTGAACGGCTGCCACTGCCAGTTGTTGAAAGCGCCCACCACGTTCACGCCCGACTTGTCCTTGAGCACGCTGGCCGGCCGGTGGAAGAAGATTTCCACGGGCTTGCCCGCCTGCACCTGCCCGGGGTAGAAGAACATTTTCGCCGCGATGAACTCGTGCTCCTGCTGCAGCTTCCGCAGCTGCTCTTGCCGCGGCAGCTCCACCATTCTCGCTGCTTCCGCCCGCGCCTTCGCCTCCGCCTCCGCGCGCTCCCTCGCTAGGGCTTCTGCCCTCGCACGCGCCTCTGCTTCCTCCCTTGCCCGTGCGGCCGCTTCACGACTCGCCATCGCCGCTGCTTCTTCCGCCGCCTTCGCCTCCGCCTCAGCGCGCGCGCGCGCCGCTGCGACTTCGCGCATCCCCGCCGCGGCCTCTTCCCGCTCGCGTGCCTGCGCAGCTTCCTCTTCCGCCTTCTGCGCCGCCTGCACCGCTCTCAACGCCTCTCGCTCCTTTTTCAGCGCCAAGGACTCTTCCCGCGCCCTTTCCGCGGACGCCTTCCGCACTGCTGCTGCTGCCGCCGCCTCCCCTGCGTCCACAGGCGTGCGCACGGTCTGCGCAGCTGCCGTCTCCTCCGGTTCCGCCTTCCCCTGCAGCAACGCGGCGAGGCGTTGGCGCTCCTCCAGCGCCGCCTGCAGCTCCTGCCGCAGCTGCGCCAGTCGAATCTCATTCTCGCTCAACGCCGCCTTGCTCTTCCGCCTCCTTTCCCCCCCGGATACCCCCCCAGCCGCTGAATCCTCCTCCGCGTCTCCGTCACCTCTAGTCTTCTTGCTCTTCTTGTCCTTAGCTCCACTGCTGCTGCTCGCACGGGTGCGTCGGCGAATGGGTTCGGCTTTCTCAACAGCGCTGCCGTTGTCCTCGTCAGTACCATCCTTGCGAGCCCTGGCCGCGCGGCCGGGCTTGGCGGTTGCTGCCGGGAGGTCTTCCGCGCGGCTGGAGGCGGTGGAAATGCTAGCGCCGTCGCGACGGGGTGTGGGGTTGCTGCTGCCGCACTGAATTGATGGGATTCGGGCCACTCGAGACATAGCAGCTGGCGGACCATGGGAATGATCATGGGACAAGGGCGAAACGTAAGAATGGTTCTTGAATATAAAAACACTAACTTGGAAGCGATTAACGGAGACCGGGGAGAAGAAAATGGGAAGGGTAAAGCAAGGTGAGAGGTCACATGAATGCACGAAATGCTGAAATGAAAAGGTCGGGAAGGTGAAAGTCATACGAGGCACAAGAACAAAGAGCTGGATAAAAAAAGACCAACCTGGAGCCCATCTGCTAGTGCGACATAGGAGACTGCTGCTGGCCCAGCCAACATTCGCCTGAAGCTTACAGGGCCTGCGAGACTGAAAATGAATAATCCAGACAAAGGTTGCAGCATGGAAATCTATTCACAGATGCAGTACATGCAATCAGGAACAATTAACCACCATGTTTTTTTCTCTATATACTTCAAACAATCTCAGTCAGCGGTGTGTGAAAATTCGATTGATTCGTTTACTGGGAAACAGGAAATTTGAGACGTACAGTGGTTAGGGAGTTCACTGCAACCGTGCACGTATTGCCCAACGACGCCATTCCGACGGTACTAGCCATTGCCGCAATCCGAGCACCAAAGTGCTGAAACAAAATAAGAGCTTTACAATGACTACTGCTTTAAGGCTTAGAATGTCGGAAGATTCAGCACCTTCATGCTCGGTGCGAGGCCATGGACAGAAAGCAACGGCTGGTTGGGATTTGATCAAAAGCGAATGCGGGAAGCATGAAGAAAGGTTTTGTGGTGGTGGACGCGGGGAGAGGCTGGTTGAGGCCAAAGGGAGAGCCGTGCAGCCAAGAAGCTCAACCAGCCTCAAAGAAAGGCTTGGGAAGACCAAGGCAAGGCTTGGTGGCACGTGGCACCACGACATGCAAACCGCTCCATTGGCTCCCAACGAGAGTCATCCGATCTCAGCGCGTGAAGGAATGCCACATAGGCTGGTTTGGGAACAATCTAGGCGCTCTGTCATGTGGTTTTGAGCTGTAGTTGTGACAGCCTGGAGGTTTGTCCTTTGGGATCTCCTTGGACGTGTGGTCTGGATGATGCGAGCCATTTTCCAGCACATCAATGCCCCGCGTCCATGGGATGTGAGGTGGACCACTCTGCCGACACCAACCTTCACACGGGTTCAGCAGAATTTCACTTGACTATGTGTAACAAGTCCCACCGAAAAACATGTTGCGACTAATTCTGAAATGTGTAACTTGCATTCTTGTTACACCCACTTTCTTGTTCAAAACAGGTGCATGGTTGGATATGTTCGTGGTTCTGTGCCGCAATGTGATTGGTCGTGCCAAAAACGACATAGGAGACCGCAAGGCTGCGCCTTTTCGCTGACACCAGATCTTTTTGCTGACGGCACTGCGCACCCGCCCCTCCCTCCCTCTGTTCTACACCCCGCTGCCCCCCTGCAGCACACCGCGGATATGGAGCAGCACCCCGCTCCGCGTAGATCAGCACCTCCGCCTTCCGTGCCGTTGTTGTCCGCGCCCTCTGTCACGCTCTCCCCCCACCCCAGCTCTGGTGCACCGCTTCATATGTGCATGCATGCCTCCCTCATAACACTCTTCCTCCCTTCACCTCCTGAAAGTCCTCACGCCGGCGACCTCCATTCACACGAGTACTTTAGTAGACAAGGTCCGCCATCTGGAGTTAGTGGAAGTAGAATGCTTATTCTTGTGTATCATAAGATGGCTTAGCCAGTCTTCACCACCTCTTGCCGGGTCTCAACTTCGCTCCCATGGCTTATGTTCGATTCGTTATCTAATCCGTTGAATATGTCCGCGACTTATAAACTCACTGCTTGCGGATCTTCTTCAACACGTTCATCTAGTGTCTGTGAAAGTTGGTAGGCAGCCATGGGAGCGGGCTCGAGTCAACCCGCGCACCAGCAGCATCGTCGGTCGCAGCCAGCCAGGCCGCCGCAGTACTACCCGCCCGTCCCTTACTCCGTCCCCGCAGGTGCCGTTCCGCAAGCCCCCTATGGCCATGCGCCGTACCCCTATGGCTACGCGTACCCGCCGGCCGGCAGCGGAGTGCCTCCTTCCCCGTGGCAGCACAACCCGCACTATCCGCATCCCGCGCCTCACCCGCCCGCCGCGCCGTGGTACGGCGGATATCCCGGACACGCGCCACCGCCATACCAGGTCCCCGTTCCGCCGATGATGCCGGTGCCGCCTCCGCCTGTGGTAGCGGAGCCGCAGCAAGCGGTGACGATAAGGAACGAGGTGAACGTGAAGCGCAGCTCGCTGCGGTTGCTGCGCGACCCCGCAGATCCCAGCAAGCACCTCGTCGCCTTCACCTTCGACGCCACCACCAGCGGCAGGTTCGTTGCGATACTCGATCTCTAGTCACCACGCAAATTGACTATGTTCCGTTACGTCACTACGCAAATTGATTATGTTCCGTTACGTTTGTTGATGTCAGTTTGTCAACTTTTTGTAATTCGTCGTTTGTGTCGGCCGTTCCCCCGGTATGCGTGCAGTGTGAGCGTGTTCTTCGCGGCGCAGGAGGGCGAGGGGTGCAGCCTCAGGGGGGTGTATCCGCACGTGCACACGCCAACGGTCGTGCGCTTTGCGAAGGGTCTCGGTCAGAAGCTCGTGCAGCCGTCAGGCACGGGCGTCGACCTCTCGTTTATCCCAGAAGAGCATCTCTTTAGGGTTTCCGGCCCCAACCCCGTGTATCCGCTCGTTATTCGCACCCGCGTCGAGCCCAGAAGCTCGAATTCCGCGACAGTAGCATCGCCGAATAGTAGCGCTAGCAGCTGCGTCAGTAACGTTCAGTCCGGCGAGCCCGCGAGCGCGTCGTCGTCAGAGCCGCGCTCCGCCGGCAGCAGCCATGGCGTAGAATCATGCGACTCGGATCCAGGCGCTCCGCTGCCCCCGTGGGTGCAGTCTCAGATGACCTACGCCGTGTTCGAGAAGGCCGCTGTAACGCGTACGGAGAAAGCGGGAGAAGGGGAGGCGGCGGAGGGCGATAAGGGGAAGGGCGTTGGGGAGCTGCCCGGGCTGTTCGTGGTGCGGCCGGTGAAGCAGAAGATCTGGGTGGACGGCACCAGCTACGAGGTGCAGGTGCGTGCGTGCATGCTACGGGTCCGCTTTGCGCTCCCCTCTTGCAAAGTTTGGGCTTAGTACTCCCATTGTTGCACCACCACCCCCCTCCATCTTCTCAAACCAACTCTTCCCCCCTCCCCCCCCTCCCCCCCAACCCCGTCCCTCCCGTTCATCGCTTCATTGACGCATCGGCCGTCATTGCACATTACCGGCTTCCCACCGTTCTCATGCCTACCCTTCTCCCTCTTCCCGGCATTGCTGCCTGCGTTGGCTCTGTGTTGTTCCGTGCAGGAGATTTACGGCATAGAGCAGTGCGGGCGGGCCAACACGGGCAGGAGCAAGAAGGGCGAGGGAGAGGGAGGGCAGGGGGGCACGGGGGGTGAGGGGTCGGCATTGGGGGGCGAGGAGGAGGATGAGGAGGAGGAGGAGGAGGAGGTGGCGGGCAAGGAGTGTGTGATCTGCATGTCCGCGCCCAGAGACACCACCGTGCTGCCCTGCCGCCATATGGTATGGTACCCCTCCACTGCTTCTGCTGCAGTCCTCCTACCCCCTGCAACGCCCTATTTTGTCTTCATCTATTGAATCGTAAAACGTTAATCAGATTCATCTTGGTCCCTCAGTGGTGCTTAATTTTTCCATCTCTCCCTCACCCTACCACCCCTCCATCCCTCCTCCCACCACCACACCCATCCATACCCGTGGCAGTGCATGTGTGCGGACTGTGCCAAGGTGCTGCGGTACCAGACCAACAAGTGCCCCATCTGCCGCCAGCCTGTGCAATCATTGCTCGAGATTCGAGTGCCGCCCAGACTGCCATCGCTGGACGGACCTGAGCCAACTTCCCCTGAGGCGCAGGGAGAAGCAGCAGCGGGGAGGCAGGGGCACGCAGAGACAGAGGCGCGTGCAGGGCCTCCTACACTTGCAGGCTCTGATGGTTCCGCCGATCCCGCGTCTGCAGCGGCTCATGCGGGCAGTGGTGCTGCTGAGGCCGGAGGTTCTTGGGGCCATGGTGGGGCGAGCAGAGGTGTAGAGCCGGAGGCTGGGAGGGGCAGTGGTGGTGGGAGGGGAAGTGCTGATGTTGTGCAGTTGACTGATCAAGTAGGCTCGTTTCTGTTGGATACAGGTAGAGGCAGATAAGTGTACTGGTTTGTTCAGGGATCACTCTGTTTTGTTTGTGATAGGTGCATAAATCAACATACCGTACTAACCAGGTGCGTCCCAACTATTTAGTACCAGGGACGCACCTGGTTAGTGACATCAGCAACGTTGATATGACTTTGTCAGTGAACAATGCAAGCAGGATATAGCGGGCTGAGTTCTGGGCAAGGTGTTGGCGCATTCCTATCTAATGATGTGCAGCGTAACTCATCCAGCCTAAGCAATGCTTGATACTGGCCACCTTAGATACAAACCGTTTAGTTCCTCCGCTCACCTCACCTCACCCATACTGTATCACTCCACCGCACCACAGCCCTTTCCTCAGATTACAAGCAAATACATTGACCAGATGAAACAGCCTCAGTCTGTCGCGTAGCGCTGTGGTTGGGGGAGGGCTACCAGCACGAGTGTACAGTGACGAGCACCCCAAAAATCACCCACTCGCCTCGCCCCTGGCGGAAGATTGCTTCCCTCGTGGCGCGGGGAGGCAGCTTGTCCGCCAGCCTACCTCACTCACAACAGCCACTCCTTCCCCCCCGCGCCATCCCTCCCCTTCCCTTCCCCCTTCCCCATTCCGCCACTCCCTTGTCTCTGCTTGTTTACCTCTGCATCGCTCCGTACACTGTACTAATCACTTACCTCCCACCCGCGTAGTCCTAATGCGCTAATTCCACGCTGAGAGAATAACCCAGACCGCACTGATGACGCCACGCGCGCTAGTTAGTCGTTGTCCGGTAGCTTCTCGCCTCGCATTCGTCGTTTCTCGCTCGTGCCGTGCGATCCGTAGCTAGCCATGTCTATCGTGACACACCACCACAGATTCCGCTCAGCACTTACTGTCCGCACACTCGCTCTGCTCCTCCAATGCAATTGACCCAGTCGCAGCACTAGACTCGCAGTAGTTTATTTATGCAATCTTCACCGCGCCTCTTATTCACACCTAGACGGCGTCGTTGAATTCGTCGGCATGCAGTCTGGCCGCGTCGCGAGTTCCCACCCCACGTGTCGAAATGCCGTATCTCGAAGAAATATCTCCCCCAGGGCGAACACTCGTAACGTAGAAGGTTATATACTTGGCAAGAATACAACGCGCTCGTCTTTAACGCGATTGCTATTGCCGCTGCTGCTCTCTCTGGTCCTACCGGACGCGCCAGGAGCAGCGGCGCAGGGCAGGCCAGATGCCGTCACGAAGCTACCCGGTCAGCCGGCAAGCGCGCCCAAGTTCAACCAGTCAGCCGGCTACATAACGGTGGACGGGCGGAAGGCGTATTTCTACTGGCTCGTGGAGGCCATCAGCCAGCCCGACTCGAAGCCGCTGCTGCTCTGGCTCAACGGCGGTGAGTCTTCGAAACCGCGCAAGCCTTTAGGACTTCTGCCGCGGTGCGTTAGAAAACGTGCAACGGCGGTGCCTAACAGGACTCGCACGTTTTATCATTTTTTCCTCAGCAGCCGCATCGTGCCACATTCCGGAGCACCCGTCCTCGCCTTCTCCTCCGCAACCTCGCGTATGTTCCGCGAATTTCACGTTTCACTCTCCTGGCCCCACTTCCTCCCCATCTCCCCGTGTCCCCCGCTCCCCGTGTCCGCGCGCGCGGCAGGTCCGGGGTGTTCGTCGGTGGGGTGCGGGCTGTTCGAGGAGGTGGGGCCGTGGCGCGTCGCGTCCAAGGCGGGAGCCGCGCTGCTCTACAACAAATACGCCTGGAACCGACGTCAGCGCTCGCCCCCGCCCTCCCCCCCCTCCGCTCTCCCCGCTCTCCCCTCTCTCTCTGCGCTCTCCGCTTCCTCCGCTTTCTCCTCTCCCGTCGCTTTCTCGCATTCCCGCACATCCCTTCAACGCCGTTTCGCCCGCTCGCTCCGCCGCACACCCGCTTACATGTCACTGTAACCACGCGCTTCGCGCCCCACTTCCGCGCCACTCCCCACACTCACCTTCCCCTCTCTCCCACTTCCCCCCCCACTTCCCCCCTCACCCGTGCGGCCCGCGCGTGCAGTGGTGAACATAGTGTTCCTCGAGTCGCCCGTGGGCGTGGGGTACTCGTACTCTACTGACACGTCAGACTACACCACCGATGACGACCAGACAGGTAATGACACGTCAGACAGACGGTAAGATTCATGTGATTTTTGCGCGCGAGTGCGCTGGCTCTGCTCCGCGCGCGCAGCACCCCGCGCTGCCACCTCCCATCCGCCCTCCTGCAGACCCCCCTTCCCTTTCCCTGGCATCCCTTTCCCTTCGTCTCTCCACTCCACCCCGTCTGCCCATCCCACCCCCTCTCCCCTCACTTCCCCTCGCTCCCCCCGCTCCCCCCTCCACCCACGCAGCGAAGGACAACCATGCCTTCCTTGTGGGGTTCGTGGCGCGGCACCCGCGGTACGCGGGGAGAGAGTTCTACATCGCGGGGGAGAGTTACGCGGGTAAGGGGGAGAGCTACGCGGGTAAGGGGGAGAGCTACGCGGGTAAGGGGGAGAGCTACGCGGGTAAGGGGGAGAGCTACGCGGGTAAGGGGGAGAGCTACGCGGGTAAGGGGGAGAGCTACGCGGGTAAGGGGGAGAGCTACGCGGGTAAGGGGGAGAGCTACGCGGGTAAGGGGGAGAGCTACGCGGGTAAGGGGGAGAGCTACGCGGGTAAGGGGGAGAGCTACGCGGGTAAGGGGGAGAGCTACGCGGGTAAGGGGGAGAGCTACGCGGGTAAGGGGGAGAGCTACGCGGGTAAGGGGGAGAGCTACGCGGGTAAGGGGGAGAGCTACGCGGGTAAGGGGGAGAGCTACGCGGGTAAGGGGGAGAGCTACGCGGGTAAGGGGGAGAGCTACGCGGGTAAGGGGGAGAGCTACGCGGGTAAGGGGGAGAGCTACGCGGGTAAGGGGGGGTATGGTGGCAGATATGCATGACTTGTGCGCTTGCGTCTGCCGCTTCAGCTTCGCCCTCCCCTGTGCTTGTCTCACACTCACTCACACCTCATACCCTCCCCACTCACCTCGCCATGCTCCCCTCTCGCCCCTGCCGCCCCGTCTCGCCTCCCTCAGGCCACTACATTCCGCAGCTCGCCGCCCGCATCATCGAGCAGAATCAGATCCAGGGCGGCACACGACTTAACTTGGACTTCTCGGGGATTTTCCTGGGCAACCCGTTTGTGAACTACGCGCATGACACCAAGGCAAGCGCATGACAGCAAGGCAAGCGCATGACAGCAAGGCAAGCGCATGACAGCAAGGCAAGCGCATGACAGCAAGGCAAGGCAGCGTGCGTGTCTGTGGCATGGCAGCATGGAGCATGGCAGCATGGAGCATGGCAGCATGGAGCATGGCAGTGCAGTGACCCCCGAGGCAGCATGCTGCGGTTGTGCAAGCGTCGTCCCGTTCAGTTGCGGCTGGCCTCCTGTGCAGGACGTGCGCAGAGTGCACATCCCCCAATCCCTCATCCGCGCATCCCCCCATCCGCGCATCCCCCCATCCGCGCATCCCCCATCCGCGCATCCCCCCGTCCGCCCATCGCCCGTGTCCCTATCCACGCTTCCCATGGCCACTCCACATCCCATGGCCACTCCACATCCCATGGCCACTCCACGTCCCATGTCATCCATGTTCACTGCCATGGGCACGCGCCCCACCTGCCATGCAACCTAGACCCATGCATGCACCCATCCACCCATGCACCCATGCACAACCCCCCTCTCCTCGCGTCGTGTGTGGCAGGGCCCCATCCAGTTCTTCTACGACCATGGCATGCTCAGCACCGACCTCTACAACGACGCCATCAACGTGCGCCCACCCCGCCCCCTCCCCTGCCCCTCCCCCCTCCCTCCCCCGCCCATTTCCCACCCCCGCCCCCGCGCCCGCCCCTGCCTCCGCTCCGCGCCCCACCGCTCGCTTTCAAAGCCACTCTCACACGGTTCCATGCCGTGCCATGCCGTGCACCACTGTATTGTCGCCTATGTGCCCCCCTCTCCTCCTGCACTCCCCCACCTCTGCCTCTCCCCCATGCCCCTCTCCTCCATGTGTGTCCCTCCGCTTTTGTGCACGTGTGTGTGCGTGTGTGTGTGTGCGTGTGAGTGTGCTTCCCCCCTGGCAGTGCGACTTCTCATACGGCTCCCCCAACCTGGAGTGCCGCTACCACATCAACTCCGCCTTCTCGCCCTGGGTGCGCGCCAATTCCCATGCCGTGCCATGCCGTGCCATGCCATGCCATGCCATGCCATGCCATGCCATGCCATGACATGCCACACTGCTTGCTTGCTTGCTTGCTTCGCCTGTCCCCTTCCCACACCTCTCTCTGGCACGGTCTAGTTAATCTTGGCTCATGTTGGCTGCAACCCCATTCCTTCCCCCATTCGTCGCACTCCGTTTGCCTCTCTGCTGCCTTGTCTGGCATGTGCGTGCATGGCACGGCTGGCATGTGCGTGCATGGCGCGGCTGGCATGTGCGTGCATGGCGCGGCTGGCATTGCACGGAACTGGCGGGTCTGCTATGCCTTGGCCAGTACGAGCCCATCGACCCCTACAGTAAGCACCGCCCACCATTACCACCATCACGTCTGTTCTGTCTCACCTTGCCCGTTCTATGCCCCTCCTCTCCTTGCCGCTGCATCGCTCTCTGCACACACCCCTCCACCCCCTCCTTCTCCCCCACCCCGTTTCTCTCACATCCTCACAACCCACACTTGGTCAGACCTGTTCTCACCTCTTCACAACTCATTTCACTTCCTCTCACCTACTCGCACCTCTTCTTCCTTCCTCCCATCGCACCCTCCCCATTACCAGACATCTACGCGCCCTACTGCCTGGCGGACATCTCATCAGCACGCCTGTCCGCCTCGGCGCGCATGAATCCGCGCCTGCGCTTCTCCATAGCCGCGCTGCAAGCAGCCATCCAGCAGCAGCAGCAGCAGCAGCAGCAGCAGCAGCAGGCAACGCAAGCACAGGCGGCTGCAGGAGGCGGGGATTTGGCCGCGCCAAGCGGTGCAGGGAGCAGTGGCGGTGCGGGGATGAGTGGCGGTGCGGGGATGAGTGGCAAGGCGATGGACCCGTTGGACAGCCCGGCGTGCATGGACGCATGGGTGCAGCGCTACCTGCGCTCGCCCGCTGTCTACAAGACCCTCCGTGCGCCCGCTTCTCGCGCCTCCCAGTGGAGCCTCTGCTCGTAAGCCCAGCGGGCAGGCACGCACGCAGGCTGGCATGCAGCCAGGCAGGTTGTGCTTGGGTGGGCAGGGGGCACGGTGGTATGCACAGCGCGGCTGCAGCTCTCATCTCTCTCCCCCCACTCCACCATCTCCCACGCTCATCGCCCCTCACGTTCGTACCGTCCACACCCACCCATTCCCTCCTCACTCCCCGTTGGCATCCATTCCTTTCGTGGTCTTTTCCCCCTCTCCCACCCCAACAGCAACGGAATAGACTACAGCGCCACCAACCAGGGCAGTGACATCATACCCACCATCGCGGCGCTGCTGGACCAGCCCATCCGCTTCTGGATCTTCGCGTACGCCCCCCTGCCCCTCCCCCCGCACCCCACCCCCCCCCCTCCCGCACCCCATGCCTCCCCACCTGCCCCCCCTGCTCCGTTGCTCCTCCCCCCATGTCTGTACCACCTTCGCCCATCTCCTGCACCCCTCGCCCTCCCGTGCCACGTGCCTCGCCGCTCACGCCATTCCCCATGCACGCACCACTCACCCGCACCTCATTGCGTCTTTGCTGCCCGCCCTGCGCTGCAATGCACCTCTCCCCTGCGCGTCTCCGCGTTCGTGTCTCTCCCCCTGTGCCTGTGACGGCATGCAGGGGCGATGCGGACAGTGTGGTACCGTTCACGGGTACGAGGGTGTGGATAGAGGCGCTGGGGCTGCCCGTGCTGCAGCCGCAGTACCCGTGGCTCATGCCCTCGGGCCAGGTGCGTGCTGCACTGCTCTGCTCTACCCCACCCCTTGGGTTCGGTTAGGCCAAGCCTGGGGTGGCCGTGACTTGAGTTGTAGCAGTGTGCATGCACCGCAGCTGGCTCCGCCTGCCACATGCTTGTCAATCGCACCTTGTGCATTCTTGCCTTGCCGCCCACACTCCCTCTCACCGTGCTTCACCCCATGTGCTCATATCCATCCATCCCCTGGGCATGTGTGTGTGTGTGCAGGTGGGGGGGTGGGCGACGCGGTACGACAAGCTGACATGGGTGACGGTGAAGGGGGCGGGGCACCAGGTGCCAACAGGCAAGCCCGAGGAGGCGTTTGTGCTCTTCCAGTCATTCCTCCTCGCGCAGGACCCCCCTAGCACTGCCCAATGGTGATTGCCCGCACCACGATTGTACACTTGCTCGCAATGATTTGCTTTGTAATGTATCTATTTAAATTATTTTGTTCTTCCACTTGATCAGGCGCCACCCAGTGGTGCAGCAAACAGAGAGAGTGCAGCCCAGAGGGGCTCCGCATAGAGGGCGCTTCACGGGTACAGCAGGCACAGTGTGCTCTGCACTGCAAGCCCACTGCTGTGAGATCGCAGCAACCTATGCACTGTACTGTGGAACAGTGAAGTGGTTACCACAAGGAGAATAACACATGGCCAGCTTTCTAGACACTGAAATGGTCCTCCTTCGCCATATCAGCCTTGCTAGCCTACTTTTTCCTGGGGACGGTGAACAGCAGCAATGCAGGATGCTAATACCTAAGAGCGTATCTACGTAAGTTGGCGCTGCTCAGCTTGTGAGCGCCCCTCACTCGCCTCATCCTCCTTTTCCCACACGGCACTCACCCCACCCTTCCGCCTCTCAGCCCGTCGCCTCATCCTCTCAGCAGCCCTCTCCGCCTTCTCCCCACCCGGCCCGCCCACCGCCCCCCACCGCTCGAACTGCCGCTGCCTAGCCCGCGCGCGCTCCTTCTCGTCCTCACTCTTACTCCCATGGCAGTGCGGGCACGACACTCCCGCCTCCCACAGCGGGGACTGGCGGTCTGCCTCATCCACAGGCTGCTGGCAGGCGTAGCAGAGGGAGTAGGTGGTGGTGGGGTGCATGCCGTGGCCCACCGCCACGCGCTTGTCAAACACGAAGCATTCGCCGCGCCACAGGCTGTCCTCGGGGGGCACTTCTGCTAGGTAGCGCAGTATGCCCCCGTCCAGGTGAAACACCCGCTCCTGGGGGGAGGAGGGGGGAGGAGGGGGGAGTGGAGTGGGGGGGGGGGAAGAGGGGGTGGGGGGCGCGGGAAGAGGAACGGGGCAGGTGGGGGGATTTGAGCGATGTGGACCAGCTTGAATGAGTGCTTGGCGAGGCGGGACAGAAGGCAGGCTCCGAGGGAAGGGCGGATGGCACGCAGCGAGGAAGGGGGTGGCGGGTTTGGGGGGGGGAAGCGTGGGGGGGCGCACCTGGGGGAAGCCGAGGTGCAGCATGTAGGCGGTGGCCTTCTCACAGCGGATGCCCCCTGTGCAGTACATTGCCACGCGGGGGAGAGAGTCGGGCGATGCGGGGGAGGCAGAGGGGGACGCGAGGGGAGACTCGGGGGGAGATGCTACGTTAGGGGGAGTGGTGGAGGCGGAAGGTGGGGAGTCGGGCACGGGGGAGTTGGGGGATGAGGGCGGGAGGGGGAGGTGGTTGTGAACCCAGACGGGGAACTGGCGGAAGGAGCGTGTGTTGGGGTCGATGGCGCGGTGGAAGGCGCCTATTCGCGTCTCGTAGTCGTTGCGCACATCCACGACCACCTGGTGGAAGGGGGGGGAGAAGAGGGCGGGAATGGAGGGTATGGGAAGGGGGAGGGGGATGGGGGGGAGGGGGGAGAGCGGGGGGGCGAATGGGAAGGATTGGTTGGTGTGGCGAGGACGGGGTGGTGGAGAAACATGAGGTCGTGAAGATGCACGGGAAGGCAGCAAGGTGGAGTGAGCGGCGCAGTGCTGGCAGCACGGGAATAGCAGCGGGCGCGGGTGAGGCGACTGACAGTGGTGGGGTCGGAGATGAGGTCGTTCCACTCGCGCGCACTCACGTACGTGCCCACGCCGTCCGCCGGGTTCACCTCCGGCATCCCCAACGTCACTATCTGCCCCCGTAGCACCACGGGACGGAGGGTGGGGGCGAAGGGGGAAAGATTGGGGGAGAATTGGGGAGGAAGGGGAGGTGGCGTGGGGAGGGGAGAGGGGAAGAAGGCAGCGTGTGGAGGAGGAGGAATGGGATCGAGCGCTGACTGTGTCACGCAGCAGGTGTGCGCGTTGCACAGCTAGCCCTGCCTCGATGCACCAAGCGAACTCTTTTCCTGTGCGCCCTCTCCCTGCCATTCCCCCGTTCCCCCTGTCCCCCCTGCGCGCACCTCCTGCTTCACTTTGACGCGCACGTGGTTCCATCGGAACGGCGCGTCTCGCCCCGCCGCCAGCGGGGAACACTCCGACTGCCCGTCCACCGCTTCCGCCTCCGATCCCCCTCCCTCTAGCTCCTCTGCCTCCATCGCCTCCGCTGCGCAGTGCGCCTCCCTCTCCTCCGCGCCCGCGGGCTGCACGGTGGTGCGCAGCCCCGCCAGTCGCGCATCGGCGCGCAGCCAGTCAATGACGGCGGCTGCGGCGTCGGGCGTGCCGCAGATGCTGCCGTTGATGCCTTCGCGCGCGACGATCACGCCGCCCGACACGCGGTGCTGGCGGCACACCTGCTCGAGCGGGCGCTTGAGCGCGGCGCAATCGTCTAGCTGCGCGAACTTGTAGAACGATATCACCACCAGACTGCTCCCGCCATGGCTGCTTCTGCTGCTGTTGCTATCGACGCTCGCGCCGCTGGACGTTCTGTCAAGCTTCGGTTGTTCCGCGCTATCGTCATCCTGGCGCGATACCGCTGGTTCTGGTTGTTCTGTGCTAATCCCCTCTCCGTCGGCGCCGACCTTGCCGAAACCCTCTCCCCCGTGCGCCATGGCACACGGCCGTCTTTTGCCCAATGTGGCCGCTCCACTCTGCAAAAGTGTCCGTGGAATCTGAAAATAAGAAACGCGTATCTTGCGGCCGGATATCGTGGAAACCAAAGAGCCTCTATTGGCTGCTGGGAGCCACCCCGATCCCGCTAGTTGCGGCGACAGCAGCGTGCGACGCGGGCGAGATGCGCAAAGCGCAACAGATATCCTCAGTTGAGGAGAGAGCGCGGCGGTCGGATGCACCATGTCCCCCAGATTCCGCCCGCCGAGCCGCGCAAGGGATATTACAGACACTGGCGCGAAGCGAGCGTGGACGAGCCGATATGACTGTTCGCGATATGTAATGCTGCCGCGGGGCGCTGCACAATGGTGAATGCCGTCAATAACGGATCGCGAAGCTAACTGCGAAGCGAAAGCGGCAACGACGGAGGATGCCAGCACTCGAATTCGTGCGGTGACTACGGACACGACTGGAGTCCGGGTGCTCGTTATGAACGTTATCCGAGGTGCACTAAGGCAGTTAACTAAAGTCCTAGACGCGACGGACATTTATAAACGCAACGAGAACGCATGGCAAAAGGTGGTCTGGTGAGGTGATACTAAACATACCAGGGGCAGTAGCTCTTTCGTTGTTGGTTTGGGGAAGAAAGGCGGTTCCATGGATTTGCATAGAGGCTCAATACGTCAGTGACAGCACGGGGATTGGTCAGAGATTTCCAGCACAGCGTGGAAGATGTGCGCGTTTGTATCAAGGTGCAGGATTTCATATAGTGTTACAGGATCATAATTGTTTGAAGTCGAAATACAAGAAACTTTATTCTACTTCCTGAGCCACATTTGTTCAGCCTAGACATTTTCGTGTTTCGATTCGATCGTGTGTGGTCTTTCGAGGGCTCCCTGCTGGGCCACGAACCTCACAAATGAAGCCGCACCTCGATGTTACGCTCGGCAATATCTATGCCCAGCCGCCGTTCACGAAAGTCCATACCGTCAAAAGCTACCAGACGTGGCACGTTTTGGCAACCCATGTCAGCGGCGAAGACGGGGTCGTGTGGTTGGAGTTGCTGGAAATCTCGAACGCCCCGTCACGTCCGTCAAGCTTGAAACCAGCCCTTGGCTGCGCCTCGGGAACTCCACCGAGTGGCAATGTTTGGGACAAGCGCCTGCGGTGGCATTTGGCTGAAAAGCCCAGTGCGGTCCTGGCTTCAACCCAGTGCAGCTCCAGTTTCAGCTAACTTAGTTCAGCCGATACGCAGCGGTTGGGGGCTCTCAAGGTTCAGCACTAGCTTGCATTCAGGCTACCTCAGTGGTCCCTCCTAGCATTTTCTGAGCCATGATTTGCATGTGTTAGTGATTCCACGATTTTTTCTCTCTCTCTTTCTCTAGTACCTTTTGTTGGTAATCGTGAAGATGACGAACAAGTGGTTGAAGTCGCTTTTCCGCTGTAAGCCTCAGCCTGCGAAGATTAAGCCTGAGGTGAGTGGTCCTAATAGATTGGACGATGGTTGTATTTTGCAGTATCCTGAGTGTCCTTTCGAGTTACAATTTCCTGCATTGTGGTCTTATTAATACTGACACTGTCTCTGACCGGCGACCACAGGAACTCCTCAAGGATGATCTGTACTCTGAAAGCGCATACTCGAAGGACGAAAGTGCAAAAGCAACGAAAAGTTTCAAGTCTCCCGCAACATCTGCTATTTCTGCTCATGAGTCATCACCAGTCCAGTCTTCGCGAACAGTTCCGTCCTTCTATATCAATGCAGATGGATCAAAAGCTCGGGTTCCTGCCTCACCATCTGCTTCTCGCTCAGCGGCCAGGTCGCCGTCACCTTGCAGTCGCTCCGCTAATCCAGCATCCCCCTCCACCAAGGAGCTTGGACATGGTTCCGCCTCCCGCTTCACAGCACCTCAGTCACCCTCTACCTCTTGCACCTCTGTTACCATGCCTCCCCCAGCAATTTCTCAAGCCTCAGCCTCGCATGGCCGCTCATATCGCTCAAAGTCTGCTGCTAGATCTGCTGCTGAAGCGTCATCGTGCTCCTCGGGCGTGTCTCTCAAATCCTCTCCCAAGCGAGAATCGAGCACCGCAACATCTTCATGGTCTGGCCGGCGCATGTACAGCGCCGCGAAGAAGCAATCTGTAGCACCTGCTATGTCAGCTGAGTCTGGAGCAGCCATCAGGATTCAGACTATTTATCGTGGCTATCTGGTAAGCTTGATAAGATATTCTGACGCACATCTCATCTCATCTCTAACAAGGAGTTTCTATTATTCATGGTCTTCCGTGTGTTGAATGGATGTTGCGTCAGGCTCGTAAGGCTCTTCGTGCATTGAAGGGGTTGGTTCGCCTTCAGGCTTTGGTGAGAGGCCATATTGCAAGGAAGCAGGCAAAAGCTACTCTTCGCTGCATGCACGCGATCGTTCGTGTCCAGGCTCGGTTCCGTGCCCGTCGGGTCCGGATGTCCAGGTTCGTGTCCCAGCATTCAATAAGAAGTTTTATCCCTGTCAGGCGTCCCAGTGTTTTCTGACGCATGCCTTTTTTGCTGCAGGGAGGGACAACTTGTTCAGCGGCAGCTGGAAAAAATCTCCCGCAAGTACCACCCTGAAGTGGTCCTCAAACGCAACGAGGTATGACTTAATTCACCGAATTCAAGATTCATGTCATCCAGGAGACTTTCTTGCTTTCTGGCGGTGTTTGACACCGACTCTGTTTGGTTTCAGGTTGGCTGGTGTGATGCTTCTGGAACGGTAGAGGAGATTCAAGCAAAGCTTCAAAGCAAGCAGGAGGCCATCCTTCGTAGGGAACGTGCTTTGGCATATGCTGATTCTCGCTCAGTAAGTGTTACACAAAGTTATCATATCTATCTTGCTTCTTGTCTTTCGGAGCTGATTCTTGTTCCTTGTTGAATTCAGCTCTGGAAGAAGGAGAAGCCTACCCAGCAACGCTCCATGGCGTACATTGACTGCGAGCCCGACAAGGGTGGTTGGGGTTGGAGCTGGCTGGAGCGCTGGATGGTCGCGAGGCCGTGGGAGAACCGTCTCATGATGGCGCACTATCAGGCTGTCAACCCCAAAGCCAAGCGCCAGGGCGCGCTGCGTCTGTTTGAGGCTCAGGCAGTGGAGTCCAAGCCCCACCGCACTGTGGAGCTGGTGGACATGGGCAAGTGCAAGAGCTGCGGCCGCCGTGTCCTTGTCAAGCCCTCCGTGGCACAGGCAGCCAACGCCGCAGCTGCTGCGCAGGCGTCCGCTAATGGCACTGCGCCCTCGAAGGCCATCCCGCACACCTGCAACATCTGTGCTCCCACGGTTTCCTGGGCCGCCAAGGTCGGAGCTCTTCCACCGCGTGACCCTCCCCCCGTCGTGATCACTACCACGGGCAGCAGCCGTGGAGCAGTAGGTGCGATGTCACGGCTGTCCCTTGGCGCTTCGCATGAGCCTCAAGCCCTTGCAGACGCTGTGATCAGGTCCAGATCTCTGAGCCGATCCGCCAACCGTTCAGCTTCCAACACAGGGCCCCATGCACCTCTCTCGCCATCAGCATCGTTCAAACGTGCCAGTGCATCGCCACGTGTTGTTCCTCACTTTATGGAGACCACTGAGTCCACGCGCGCTAGGGCGAGAGCTAACAGTACACCCCGAGGGCGCCAATCTGATGGTTTTGGAAGCAAGCGAGGCCCGCCTCCTCAAGAGGCTGGGGGTGTCCTTGCTCCCGTAGTGCTTGGGCCCCAAGCTGAGACATCAGCAGACCACGAGGAACAGCTATCAGACGCACAACAGTGAGACTACACGTTGCTTGGACGCACAGATTTTACACAATATTGCAGCTAGGATAGTTTCCTTCCACTACTGACTTCATAGCAGGGCTGATTTGCTTTATGTGGTTTCCCACAGCGTGTATTCCCTTAGCTATGTTTCACAGGCCAGTGCACATTTGTGTCTAGCTGTAACAAGGGTGGCAAATTGCCCAGTTTGGCAGGTTCTGGGGAGAGGCATATTAGCAAAATAGGACTTAAACAAGAAAAGTATTATACTGTTACACTGGATAAATGTCAAACACTTTGCCTCTAAAGTGGATATGCAATTTCTAATTTTGTGTAATGTCACACTTTCAAAAAAGCCACAGCACACAGGCAACTCAGTGATAGCGTAAGTGATTACAATATCGAATAGAAAAGGAAGGCGGTAAGTGTCAAATACAGAGTACGCTGTAATTTGGATTCTGGAAGGTAATAACCATAGTTGCTTGGGGACTTGGTGTTGTTTGTTCTATGCTTTGAGGGAAATATAGATTTCGTTATAATGCAGAACCACATCAGAGTCACGGCAACGTGGGCAGGGGGTGTATCCACGCCAGCAGCTTTCGCCACCAGCATAATTTTGTTTTCAGCTCTGGTGCAGTTGTCAGCTGACGGAGCGTTCTGTTGGCTGGTCAGCCACCAACTCCCGCGATGCCAGTCAGTTTGTTAGTCTGACGAAAAACAGTTCTTGCTGCGGCTCGGTTCGGCGTAGATCACTCGCACAGCTGACAGATTATTCGCCACTGTCGCATGAAGCGCGTGAACCTTCTTCAGTGGTTCGCCGAACTTGCCTTGCCCAACGTCAACGACCAAAATGCGATGGCCTTACGAAGCCCAGCTGTCGCCCAAGCCGTGTCACAGACGGTTGTCGTCCACACCGTCGTTTAGCCGTTTGTCCCAACGGAAACCCTCCGTCAATCAGCAGCGGGTTCACGGCAGCACAGAGCCAGAGAGCTCGTCTGGGCGCAAACCTGGTGAGCTGCGCTCCGCGCCACCGCGCGTTGCTCCCCTGGCGCTGCCTCCCTCCCCTCCCATTCCGCCCGCCCACGTGAGACGCAACAATCCCATCCCCTTCCGCCTCCATCTGCCTCCACCTCCGCGCCACCCGCTCCACCGCTGCCGCCAGCCACGCCACTCCCTGCTCCTCGCGGCTCCTACAAATTCACCAGCTGCGATCGCAGTCAAACGTTCCTAATTCAAGCAACCCCTTCATTGCTACTGCTAACTAGTCTCCACACCTTTAGCCATAGCGTTCAGCACAGAACGATCCACTATTCTTTAGTCAGTTTGCTGTCAATTAACCTCTTACGCCACGCGAATCATCCATCCGGCTAGTGTCTCTTACAAAGCCATTTCGACCGGTCGGAGTCCTGCCGTCCTTTCCTTGAGATACGCATTTTTCTGGCACACGAGTCATTGCGACAATGGCTTCATCGCGAATTCCGCTGTCATTGTTGATCGCCGTCGTCGCGCTACTGAGCATGCCTCTCGTCAGTCGCGCTACAAGCAAGGCGGACATGCTGCAGGAGCTGGTGGTTTACAGCGAGGACGACGCCTTCACGTTCACGGAGCTCGAGGCGCAGCAGGCGGCCAACGACGAGGAGATTAAAGCCGCCGCCATCGCGAACGCGTTCCATCATCTGCACGGCTCGGAGGACTTCAGCGGCGCGGAGGACGACGACTACGTTTCCGTTTCCGCGACGCGCGAGTCGGAGTCCAAAACAATGGCGGTCATCGCAGCGCCAACCATCCTGGACGCCGTGTCGCAAACCTTGTCGAAGCGGTTGAGAGGATTTTTCGGCTGATCAAGCGAGCATCGCGCGGCTTAAGTAAAAAATGGCGAGTTATTAACGACACGAGGCAGTATCTCTCATGCTGCCTGATAGTGAACCGGACAAGAAGACAACATCGTCTTACTGGGCTGGCTGCGGCCAGTAATCGCCATACTTAATGTATCATAACCCTAGTATAATAGGTCATCGCGCACATGCCGCCAAAGGCGTGCGTGCAACCATACGACTTGTGCGGCAATTCGCACAATACATATACCGGTGCTCTGCTTGTGACGATGCAATGTGACTGTTATCAATACAAGCACTATGCTAACAACGACCTTGCATGCGTTGCTTGCTGCTCTCCTCTTCCGCCTACTTACTACACCAAGCACGTTAGGCCATTTTTGCCCCATTGTGGTGCATTTCAGCAGCTTAAAGCGCAGTCATCTGTGTGGGTTTTGGTGGCAGTTACATTGGAAGACAGGTGGATAGCTTCTAGACGCTTATAACATAGTTACAGCGTACACCAGAACGCCAACAAGGCTGCTGTGACACTCTAAGATGATCTCGAGGCACGGAAGCAGAGGAGGCGGAAGAGGGAAGCATCTCTGCTTTCACCAGGGAACACCGTCCCCACTGCTGCCTGCATTGCCCGCTCCACACTCCCCCCAACAAGCTCCGCCACCTCTCCTTCCGCCAACTCTAGCCCTGCCGCTGCTGCTGCTGCCAGCACATCAGGCTCGGACACCTGATGGGTGATGTGGCACAGCAGCAGCACCGGCACACGCCCGCTGCCGTCCCGGCGAGCCAGGAGGCGGGAAGCGGACTGGAAGAGCAGCGGCACAGCGGCACGCACGTACACCACGTCGGCTCCCAAGATTACATCGAACCCCCTCCCCTGCTGCGCTTCGGTACAAGCAGCCCCGGCATCGCCTTCCTTCACACTGCAGCCAGCCGTAGCAGGAATGTGTGCGGTGCTCCCTTCTGAACCAGTTGTGCTGCCGCCTCCCTCCTCCTGCACTCGGCCCTGTTCCGCACCAACCACATCATCAGAGGGAAGCAGTTGCCTCACCGCTGCTTCGTCGCCCTCATTGCCCCACCGCAGCCGGCACACCTTGATCCTGCTCGTCTCAAAGCTCCCCGCATTCAGCTCCAGATTCCCCGGCAGCAGACTCAGAGCACTCTCGTCCCCATCTGTAGCCACGATGACACGTGGCGCGCTGTGAGTGGCTGCGAGCGAGCAGAGTGCGGCGCCGCCCGCACCGAGCTCGAGGAGGGAGGCGTGGCGGGTGAGGGCGGGGTGGGCGAGCAGCAGCGCCGCCAGCACCTGAGACGACTCCCACAGCAGCCGCCCCGTGCTGCCGTGCGTGTGCTGGTGCTCGCGGGATAGCAGGCGCACGCGCAGCGGCAGGTGCGAGAGGGAGAGGGCGTGGTCCTGGGGGCGTGCGTAGACAGGCAGGGGGTTGATGGGGTTGATGAGGCTGAGGGGGGGGAGGGGGGGTAATATGAGGGGAAAAGGAAGGAAGGGATGGGGACAGGGAATAAGAGGGCGAAGCAGGGGTTGAGGGCAGAGAGAGAGGGGAGGGAGGGAGAATCACCTCTAAAGGGGGGTCGGAGAGGAAGAGGCTGCTGCAGTCCACGTCACATGCGCTCTCACCGCCCGTGCCGCCCTCCTCCGTGCCGCCCTCCTCCGTGCCGGTTCCTCCCCTGCCATTTCCGTCCCCTCGCACACCACTGCCCCCACTTCCTCTTCTCTCCTCCTCCCCGCATTTCCTCTCATTCGTTCCCCGTGCCTCAACATCCTCCGCAGCAGTGGCAGCCGCATCACAAGGGGCAGCAGGAGCGGCAGTGGCAGGGAGGGGCAGGCGGAAGACTGCTTGGATCCACCGCCTGGTCATGCCACAAGGGGGCGGGCAGCAAGAGGGAGCATGGGGGTGGGAGCAGGGCACAGTTGCCATGGGTGTACGGGCAAGAGGGACGTTCCACAGAGCACACGAGCGGTGGGTTGTTGTGTGCAGAGAAATGAACAGGTCAAATGAAGCGCCTCTGCATGTCAGCAGCACCTGCCACGTCAGCAGCACCTGTGCATGTCGATCTGTCGTGCGCGGTTGGTGACGGTGCGCTCACACACGCCCATGTGCACGCACTGCATGCCCGCCCCCTCAAACAGCTCTCCCAGCGCCGCCTCCGTGAAGTAGTATGCTCGCTGTTGTGACCATGGGTGAACATGGGGCGCAGGGGGACATGGGGCGCAGGGGGACATGGGGTGCAGGGGGACATGGGGTACAGGGGGACATGGGGCGCGGGACACGGGACGTGGGAGGGACATGGGGCGCGGGTGGAGAAGGGGGAAGAGAGGCATGGATACATGACAGCATCAGCTGACCACATTATCAGCTGACCACATTATCAGCTGACCACATTATCAGCCCCACATTCAATCACTGTGCCATCACCCCCCCTTCCACACACACACACACTCACGGTGCCATCGCCGCGCACATAGAAGTTGTCTGCGATGCGCTGCTCCTTGCGCCTCAGGCGCTCCTGCGCACACGGCAGGGTGGTGGGGAGGCGAGACGGAAGGGGATAGACTGTTGCAGAGAATGGGTGCGCGGCAGCAGGGCAGCACGCAGTGACCACAATCATGGGGTTGCTCACCTGCTCCCATGCATGGCACCTGACCCACACACTGAGAAACACACCTGAGAAACACACCTGTGAAACACACGTGAGAAACAGATTTGAGCCACCCACCTGAGCCAGGTCGCCAGCAGCATAGTCTCGAACCAACACATGCCCGCCTGGCTGCATGCCATGCCATGCCATGCCATGCCATGCCATGCCATGCCATGCCATGCAATGTTGTGCGGAAAGATGGAGCAAGGGGCGGGTGTGAGGGGGTGAGTGAGGAGAAAGGTAGAGCAGAAGGCAGATGAGATGAGAGGGCGCGTGCCAATGACCACAGGCTCTTGTGAGCATACTTGCCTTGAGCACGGTGGCAACGTTGGCGACGGCGAGAGGCATCTTCTCAGGTGAAATAGCAGATAGCACAAACACCTGACCACGGGGTTGGCGAGTGGAGCGCGGTGGTGAGAAAAAGTTGAGGTGAAGTCAGGGAGGTGGTGCGATGCGATGCCATGTTATGATGGAAGGATTTTTGCGCGGCATTAACTCGCGAAGCACCCACCATGGTAACCACATGGCACCCACCATGGTAACCACATGGCACCCACCATGGTAACCACATCCACTTGAGATGGCGGGCACACTGCAGGGCACTGCGGCAGGCAGCTCGTGCATCCCCCCCCATCACCACCACCACCACCACCACCACCACCACCACCACCACCACCACCACCACCACCACCACCACCACCACCACCACCACCACCACCACTGCCGTCGCCATTGCGGCTGTTGCTGCCACTGCTGGTGGTGGCGGTGGCGGTGGCGATGGCAGTGGCGAGGGGGTCAGCTGTGATGTCCGCCACGAATGCTCTCAGCCTGTGCGCGTCGTAGTGCTCACTGCCCTGCCCGCCACCATGCCAGCACACATGCGGATGAGAAGAGACACATGCGGATGAGAAGAGACACACATGCGGATGAGAAGAGACACACATACATACATACACGTGCGCGCGCACACACACATGCAGAGGGAGAGAGAGGGAGCGGCACAGAGAGGCTGGCCGTGAGGGTGCTGCCATCAGTGCATGCAGCATGCAAGCACGCAGCAGAGCAGCATGCGAGCATCACACGCACGCACCCCCACCTCCCCACACCTCCCCTGTCCCACTATCGGCTGTATCCCTCCCCCACGATCTACACCCATCTCAACCCCTCAACGCACGGTGACGAGCGCAACAGCGCGCGGGGAGAAGTCGCAGGCGAGGGCGAAGAGGTGCGGATCGTCCGCGAGCAGTGGGAACACCGTGTTGCCCGCCCCACACCCCACCTGGCCTCCACAGGGGCGCAGGGGGGATGGCGGAGGACACGGGGAATAGGGGCACATGGCGGGGAGGATTGGGAAATTACAGTTAAAATGAGGGAGCAAGGGGGGGATGGGGGGACACAGGGGTATGAGGGGGTGGTGGGTGAGGGGTAGGGGGTGGATTGGCGGTGAAGGGAGAGGAGTGGCTTGGAAAGGTGAAAGGGGCAGCACGGCACAGGAGAATGGAGGGCGGCTGACGCACAATGCACCCTGCCCTGCACGCCCCACTCCCCACGCACCACTCCCCACGCCCCACTCCCCACGCCCCACTCCCCACGCCCCACTCTCCCCTCACCCTTCCACACTCACACCACTCGCCTCACCTCCAGCACCACTCGCCTCACCTCCAGCACCACTCGCCTCACCTCCAGCACCACTCGCCTCACCTCCAGCACCACTCGCCTCACCTCCAGCACCACTCGCCTCACCTCCAGCACCACTCGCCTCACCTCCAGCACCACTCGCCTCACCTCCAGCACCACTCGCCTCACCTCCAGCACCACTCGCCTCACCTCCAGCACCACTCGCCTCACCTCCAGCACCACTCGCCTCACCTCCAGCACCACTCGCCTCACCTCCAGCACCACTCGCCTCACCTCCAGCACCACTCGCCTCACCTCCAGCACCACTCGCCTCACCTCCAGCACCACTCGCCTCACCTCCAGCACCACTCGCCTCACCTCCAGCACCACTCGCCTCACCTCCAGCACCACTCGCCTCACCTCCAGCACCACTCGCCTCACCTCCAGCACCACTCGCCTCACCTCCAGCACCACTCGCCTCACCTCCAGCACCACTCGCCTCACCTCCAGCACCACTCGCCTCACCTCCAGCACCACTCGCCTCACCTCCAGCACCACTCGCCTCACCTCCAGCACCACTCGCCTCACCTCCAGCACCACTCGTCGGATGGCAACACACCGCTCGCACACACATCCCCCTCTGCTGCCGCCACTCCCACCACCGCCCCCTGCGCTCCCTGCTCCTGCGCCCGCATCCCCGCCCCTACCCTCCCCTCCCCCTCCCTCTGCCCCCCCCGCGTTTCCCCCCTCTGTTCCCTCCTCCGCCGCTTCCCCCGCGCGCGCGTCCCCGCGGAGGAAGAGCGCCCACTCGTGGTGCAGGTAGTGGCGGTCCTTGAAGAACTGCGCGCGGGGGCAGGGGGTAAGGGTGCGGATGAAGGGGTCAGGGAAGGAGAGGGATGGATGGGGGGAGGACCGGGAAAGAGGACGAAACGGACTGAGCAATGCGTAGAGCGGGGGGCTTTGGCAGTGGGTGAGGGGAAGGCAGTGACGGGGGAAGGGAATGGCGGGGGGGAGGGAATGGCGGGGGGGAGGGAATGGCGGGGGGGAGGATGCAGTGGGGGCGTAAAGCGACGCGAGCGCAGCAGTGGCGGCAGTGGAAGTGGCAGGCGCTGTGTGCCATGTGCGACGCGCTCACCCGCTCGCCATTGCGCTTGTAGAAGAGATCCCAGTAGCGCCGCGCCTCCCTCTCGTACTTGCCTGCCTTGCCCCGCCCATGCCACACCCATGCACACACGCACAAGTGCATGCTCCCATGTATGCATGCACCCATGTATGCATGCACCCATGTATGCATGCTCCCATGTATGCATGCACCCATGTATGCATGCACCCATGTATGCATGCTCCCATGTATGCATGCACCCATGTATGCATGCACCCATGTATGCATGCACCCATGTATGCATGCGCACAGGCAGAGACGAGTGATGAGAGGCGAGGGACGAGCAGCGGCTGCTGAGAGGGCGGCAGGGTCACCAACGGACGACCCACAACTTGGAGCCTCCCGTGCTACAATGCGCAACCTCACCTGCTCCTCCTCGCGTCACTACGTCTTTTTTCTTCGCCCCAGCTCCCCCAATTGGTACTATCGCGCCTCTCGTTCTTCCCCCCTTCCCCCCCTCCCTCCTCTCTCTCGCCCCCCTCTCCTAAACGCCCCCGTAGGCAATGCACCCTCATTTTTACCGTCAAGCGCGTTCCGCGCCTGAGATTGGGCTCGTTCGCCCCGTCCTACTCCGAAACCCGAAACCCGGAACCCAGTACCTGGAACCCTGACATTGACGTGGATCCAGCTGGCATGCGTGAGCAACAAATCAGCCACATCAGCAAGTACGGAAACCAAGAAATTCGCTCACCTCGCATAAAATCCGAGACGCAGTCTGTGTGCTGGGGGTAGATCTGCACACGTGGTGCGGCGTCATTGGCTCTGGATTCCATCGTCGCGGAATGGTCGCGAATCCGCGATTAGAGCCTCGGGCCTTCGTATTCAATTCGATTTCTTTCTTCGCATTGTATGCCTCAAAACTTACAAAGTTTGTAACATGCATCAACACATCTAATTCACGACATCGCCAATGTTTCAGGTCGGATGGTCGGTGCGTCGCATCTGCTTCCGTTTCTTCTCCCCGCACTGTCACGTGACCTGGAGGGGGGTAGACGTATCGCATGCGTACGGCTGTGTAGGTGCTGTGACTAGATTGGTCAGAAGATTGGACGTGTCCTTGTCAGTCACCAAGTGCCAATAGCTGGTGGTGACCAGGTACGCGTTCGCTCGCGTAATACAGTGTACTGTATTGAGCCAAGCCCATTCGACACAGCTGGCATCAAAAGAACTGCCAAACATGCAGCTCTCCGTGTCGTTTTCCGCGGGGGGTTTGTTGGATTGGAACGTGCGAGAGCAGAATTGGTGGGCGCAAGCAGAGCGCGCTTGTTTCAGCTCAGGGCTACGGTGCGTGCTTGGTGTTGCCCAGCTACAGTCAGGGCGTTTCGTTTCATCTCCCACGTACAGCTATGTTGGCATGGCACCACAAAGGGAGACGAACGACGTCTGCTCGGGATCAGGGCAAATCTTTCGTTTTTGAAGGCACGGAAGGCTCCGGGTTCGCCTGAGAAAAGACCCTGAAGAATCAGTATTCCCTCGAAAGTTTCCCTTCCGCGTCCGTGTGTTTTTCCGAAAATCCGAAAATGCACAGGAGCAGTTCTATTACCCTAGGCGCAAGTGGCTCTAAAACGTCTAAGTTGGGTGGGCAAGGACCAACAGCCCTGAGATTTACATCATGTCTGACAGCACTTATGGGCATCGCTCCATTCGACATCCACACAAGAACTGGTACCGAACTAAAATATCAGGATTGTTTTCGAAACAATACTGAAGTTCCCGATCGCTTAGCCAAATCATCCGGAAATGGTCCGGATGATTTCTAAAACGATTCTGATGAATCAGGGTTAGCCGGGAAAACATACGGAATGTACCTGAGTTTCAGAGTGTTTACCCGGATACCGAGAGCCCTGCTCGGGATTTTTCCCCCCCTTCCATCTCCCGCCGTCTGGCTCCCAGCAACTTTGCGCCTCCGCCTCCTTGGCGTCCCCATTCCAACCTCGGTTCCGCTCTCCTCCTTTCTGCTGTGATGACCGCCCGTACTCAAATTTCCTGTTGTGCTCTGATGCTTGCCACGGGGAGCGGGTCATAATGCCCGCCGATCAATCACGTGCCTCGCGCACCTGGCAATGGAGAAGGTAAGAGCTGTGCGCCGCGGGTCCACGCCAATGATTGCCTGCTACGCGCCCCTCGCAGCCAGAGGGCTCGTCGCCGCTGAGAGCAACGACCGCCGCGTGCCATGGCGGGTCATGTCAGCGCACACATCTTAATTGGTGGTTAAAGAATCGTTCTCGCCGTGGGAGCGTCACTGCTCCTCGCGGACTGACTCGGGGCAGGCGGGAACGAGCTAGTGCACGTGGCGGGGGGAGAGGGCAGGCCGCGCAGGGCGATAGGCTCTGTAGCGCGCACAACGCTGTGCGTGGTAGAAGCGTCTGCCGCCGACGTTGCGAGCATCCCTCAATGGCGCCGGCGCGACCTGCACTTGCTGCTGCTGCCATTCGCAAGTCGATCCGTCGGGAATATATCTGCTCGTCCCCCGTGACTGCACTCGCACGAGCCTCTCACACGCACGGTCACCTTCCCGCTTGCATGCACTGGTTCTCCTCACAGCGACACCTTAGTACCGCTACGCATCGACAGCGCAGCTGAAGCCATGGCGACGCAATGCGCCGAAGCAGTCAGACGACAGCCCTGGGAGCACTGCGGCACCGCCGTCAGGCCGGCGAATATCGCAGACGCTGCAATGCCGTGCTCCATCGACCATTCTCCGCAAACCGCGCTCAGGCCGTCAACAGACATTCCGGCTGACGTTCTTCTCGCCGGGGACCGCTTGCTGCCGTTCGCGGCGGCGCCGCTCGAGGCGGAATACGCGGTTGCGCGCGAGGAGATGGGGCGCGGGGAGTTCGGCGTGGTGCGCGCGTGCATGGCGCGCCGCAGCGGGCAGCTGTTGGCGTGCAAGTCGGTGGAGAAGGCGCGCCTGTGCGGGGAGCGGCGCGGCGACCTCGAGATGGAGCTGCTGTGCATGGCGGCGCTGCCGCCGCACCCGCACGTGGTGCGCCTCGCGAGCGTGCACGAGGACGCGCGCCGCGTGCACCTCGTCATGGACCTCTGCGACGGCGGCGACCTCTTCGACCTCGTCGCGCGCGCCGGCCGCCTGCCCGAGCGGTGCGCGGCGGCGATGGTGGCGCAGGCGGCGAGCGCGGTGGCGTGGTGCCACGCGCACGGCGTGCTGCATCTGGACGTGAAGCCCGAGAACCTCCTCCTCGCCGGCCTCTCCGCCGCGCCCCTGCTCGCGGACGCGCGCAGCGCGGAGGCAGCACTGGCGCACGTGAGCGTGAAGCTGGCGGACTTTGGGCAGGCCGTGGCGGTGGGCGCGGGGGGCAGGGCGCGCGGGCTGGCGGGGTCGTCACTGTACATGGCGCCCGAGGTGGTGTGTGGGCGCGAGTACGACAGTGCGGCGGACATGTGGAGCGTGGGCGTGGTGCTGTATGTGATGCTGGCGGGCTACGTGCCCTTCTACGGCCCCGACCTGCCCCACGTGTTCCTCGCCATCTGCCGCGGCCACCCCGACCTCACAGGCGAGGTGTGGGACGGCATGTCAGACGAGGCGAAGCAGCTGGTGCGGTCGCTGCTGTCTGTGGACCCTGCCTCACGCCCCTCCGCGTGCGACCTGCTCTCCCACCCCTGGCTCACTGCCCATGTGCCTACAGCCGCAGCAGCAGCGAAGGCGGCGAGGGATGCGGCAAGTGCGGCTGTGGGGGGTGTGCTGGCACCCCTGGCATGTGTTGCCCCCTCCGGTGCTTCCACCGCGCCTGCCTGCCCCTCCCTCCATGCCGCGTCGTCGTCATCTTCTCTTCAGTCCACGGCTCACTTGGTTCCCTCTGCAGTGCAAGAAGCATCTGAGTCATGCTCCATGGATAGCAATTCACTGACAGCAGTGGGAGGCTGCATGGCACCTCACCTGATGGACAGTGCAGGGAGCAGCGGTGTTGCAAGGAGGCCGCGAAGACGGCTTCGGTCTAGAGTAAAGCAGTCCTAACCAACTAACTGCTGATATGCACACAACTGACATAGTACCATTGCATGCTCAGAAATTATCGTTCATAACAAAGTAGGCTCGTGGCTTCAAAGCAACCAATTCGTTATCAATAAGTTAATGTTTTAAAAATATTTGGCGTACATTTTCTATAAACGAGAGCAGCCGATTTCAATCGCATTCGAACTCGTGCATTTCGCACACGTGCCGGGTTGACATTTGCGAATCCCTTCGAGGCGCCAGCGTGCGAACCGCCACGCATTGAGGGAACCCATGCCTCTCCCAGGAAAATTGTCCTACAAAATTTCTCAGTAGCGTGCATTAGCAATGAATCTCCTCCATTCCGTCTCAAATCGAGTTCGCCCTACGGCCTTCTGGACGAGCATTCTTGATCCCGATCTCAGTCCGTCTGCTCCGCGAGTCAGTGACGCACGCGCCTATCGATTCAGTCGAGAACCCGCTCAACCTCCGTGGACATGGCTTCGCGTCAAGAATCCAAACCCAAGGTACTTGCAGGCCGCATGGTTGTTTGCCCCACGCCCTTGCCCTTGTTCCCCTTGCGTCCGGCTCTCTCACGCGTATCTGTCCCATGGCCACCCATCAGGTGCAGGTGGAGGCGCCGACGGGGCACTACGAGTGCATCAAGCCTGAGGATCAGGCGGCGCGTGAGGGGCAGCAGAGGCAGGCGGGGCGCGAGGAAGGCATGCGTGAGGCGACGCACAAGTGAGTCTCGCATCTGTCCTAGTCAGGTCCTGTGCGTCATCCTCCATTTGTTCCCAAGCACTTCCACGTCCATGCCCCGTAAATGCCATGCCCCGTAAATGCCATGCCCCGTGAATGTCGTGCCCCGTAAATGCCATGCCATGCTTGATGGTATAATCAAAGCCAGTTTTGCAACAACCCACATGCTGCAGTCATGTTCAAGTGAAGTGCGCAAAGCGAATTTGGATTCACAATTGTGGGTTGACTGTCATCTGCCATGTGTGTGCATGCCATGGCGAGCAGGTTGCAGGCATCACATGGCACGGGCAAGCCCCACGGGCACGGGGCTGCCTCTGAGGCCTCAGTGACCGCGCAGCAGCACGCAGCCCAGCAGCAGGGCGCTGAGGCGGCACACGAGGCACGGTCGGGGCTGACAGGCATGCTGGCGGGCATCCGTGAAAAGATGGGGCACGCTGGGGAGGCACTACTGGGGGGACCGCACACGGGCACAGAGGAGTCAGTGCACGCAGCGAGGGAGGGCGCGTCCCACACACGTGGCTCTGCAGGGGTGGCGGGTGGCAGAGGCTCTGAGCAGAGCAAGCAGTCGCCTGACACCGCCTCTGCTGCTGCTGCCAGGGGGGCTGGCACGGCGGCAGGCGTGGTGAGGGGGGCTGGGGAGGACGCAGGGCGAGCAGCAAAGGAGGGTGCTGGGGCAGCAGCGCGCGGGGCAGGGACAGTGGCGGGGACAGTGCAGGGGCTGGCGGAGGAGGGGGTGGCTGCGGGGAAGAGGGGCGTGGAGGGCGCAGCGAGGGGGGCAGGCACGGCTACAGGGGTGGTGCAGGGCGCAGTAGAGGAGGCGGGACACGCTGCGAGGGAGGGGGGTAAGGCTGCTGCCCGCGGAGCAGGGAGCGTGGTGGGTGTGGCGCGGGGTGTGGGGGAAGAGGCAGGCAAGGCTGCGAGGGAGGGCAGTCAGGCGGCAGCGAGGGGGGCGGGCACAGTGGCAGGGACTGTGCAGGCGTTGGGGGAGGAGGGCAGGGAGGTGGGCAAGCAGGCAGTGGGGAGTGCCGCGCGGGGGGCGGGCACTGTAGCGGGCACGGTGCAGGCGCTGGGGGAGGAGGGCAGGGAGGTGGGCAAGCAGGCCATAGGCAGTGCTGCAAGGGGCGTGGGGGCAGTAGGGGGAACAGCGCAGGCAATGGGGGAGATGGCGAGCGAGGCAGCGAGTGAGGGGGTGAAGGTGGGCGCACGGGGGGCAGGGGGGTTGTATGGGACGGTGCAGGGCGCTGCTGACGTGGGCAGCCACGTGGCAAGCGATGTGGGGCAGCAGGTGAAGGTATGTGCTGTGCTGCTGTGTGCTTACACTAGCATCCCTGCCTCGCTACTCTCCCTCTGTCTGTATGCACCACTCCCCATGTCTCACATGCTCCACAACCTCCTTCCCTCATCTCCTGCATTCCTTCCGCTTACACGCCCCCCCTCTGCCCTGTCCCCCTGCGCCCATGGTTGGTGTGGCAGCAAGGAGCGCAGGCAGCAGCGGAGGGAGCAGCGAGGGGGGTGGGCACAGCAGCAGGGGTGGTGCAGGGCGCGGGGGAGGCAGCAGGGCGCGCAGCAGTGGAGGGCAGGCGGGAGGTGGGGGATGCGGTGGGGGCAGCGGGCGTGGGCACAGCGGAGGCAGCGAAGAACGTTGTGGGGGGAGCAGCACACGCGGTGGGGGCAGCAGCGTCAGCAGTGGGCGGAGGGGCATACGACACGGTGGAGGGCGTGGGGCAGGCCATAGGCGGGCTGGGGCTGACCGTGGCAGGGGGTGTGCAGAGCGTGCTGGGAGGGGTGGCGGGGGTGGTGGGGGGCGGAGTGCAGTCGCTCGTGGACTCCGTCAGGGGCGCCCCCCACGCCGTGGGGGAGGCAGTGCAGGGGCATGCGCAGCAGGTGCAGGAAGAAGGGGGGACAGGGGGAAGTGGAAGTGAGGGGAAGGGGGTGGAGGATGTGATATCGCGGAGGGTGGATGTGGTGGATGCCATGCGCATGGGCGGGGAGGACATTGCAGCCATGGCTGGTGCTGCTGCTGTGCCGGCAGGTGATGTGGAGGGCGTGGAGGGGCCGCGTGTGATAGTGGTGACCGAGGACAAGGTGGTGCGAGAGTAGAGACTCTCTAATAAGGGCAAGGGCTTGCTTGAGGCAGTAGTTGCGCTTGTACAGTCATTCTGCTTACCTGTATATGCTGATCCAAAACTGTGTGTACTTTGTTGTATATACTATCATTGCTAATACACCTCGCTATGATGGAATTTCCACAACCCTCCTGTGGAGCATGGGATGACTCACCTTATACACTATCAGCTGAAACTGGGAGCCAGAGAGCAGCATGCTGTCCCTTGTGGCTACCTCACCATGCACTCCACACTACTAAGGTAGTTACCGTGACAGCAGTTGAATAGCAGTGATCCACCCACCACAGCAGGGCACAAGTAGTCTCCGCTACAGCAGGTTGCAGAGCAAGTGGGTGCGCTACAGCCTAGAGCAGGTCGAAGAAGTAGTCCAGGCCCTGCCCGATCTCCCACACCGACAGCCCTGCGCCCCACGCACTGGCCTCGCGCATGCGCAGGGCGAGGGACAGCAGCGAGGGGAAGAAGGCGGCGCGGCGGATGCCCGAGGGGCGCGCGGTGAAGGAGGCAGCGTGCTCGCGCGCATCGGGGTCCCACGCCACTTTCGGCTGGTAGCGCTGCAGCACGTCCACCACGTCCGTGCCCAGCAGTGGGCGGTAGTCTGGTGGAGTGGGGGAGAAGAAGAGGCGGGAGAGGATGGTATGGGGCGTGGGAGACCGTGGAGTGGGGTTGGCAGGCGCAACTGTAGACCATTCGCGGTGGAAAGAAACTGTTGAAAAGCAGGGGTGCATGGGTACCCAAGTGTTGCATGGGAGGTGGCGGACTGACCTTCGTTCGGGCCATATTCATAGCCATAAAAGTTGAGTCCCACTAACACCTTGCGAGCCATCTCCTTTACATCTCCTCCTCCCACCCCACCCCCCTCCTCCTCCTCTTTCCCCTCCTCCTCTTCTCCATGCTCATCCCCCACAAAGCTCCTCAGCTCGCGGCCTCGCCTGAGCTCCTCCTGCCACTCCGCGTCGCCCACCCCCATGCCCTCGCCATACGCGCCTGCATACCGCGGCGTCACCCCCGGCAGCAGCGCCTGCAGGCACAGCCGCACCCACGGCAGCGGCGCGGTGGGGCCGGGGTGCGAGGGCGGGGAGAAGTCGTACGTCATGAGAGAGAACCCGTCCACGTGCGCATGCAGCGCTGATAAATCTGCTGCTGTGAACGCGTGCGGAGGGAGGGTGCGCTGATGCTCGGGGGGGAGGGCGGCGGCGGCGTTGGGGGGGATGACGAGGAAGAAGGAGAGGTGGGCGGTGGGGGAGGCGGGGTTGGGCGTGGCGTGCAGAGCGGTGCCGAGGCCGGAGATGAAGGCGAGGGCGCGGGCGCGCAGGGGGGGCGAGGCGAGCAGGCTGGTGGCCGTCCACGTGGACCATGCCTCCAACACCACCCCGTCCAGGTGATGCTGCCTGCCAGGCCACATGGGGGGGCGGGAAGACAGGGGGGACGGGGGGGTGGGGGGGGTTAAAAAGGGGGGTTGGCTTGGGACAAGAGGATGCAGGAAGCAGGTGGGGAGGAGGAAGGAGAGAAGAGCAGAGAGGAGAGTGCGATGGCAGGAAAAAGTGGCAAGAGAGGGGAGGGAAGAGGGAGTGCAGCATGGGGGGCAAGAGCTGGCCACCTGCAGGTGTCCAGGATGAGCCGAATGGCCTCCGATGCGTCCTCGTCAGAGCTGACGATGCCTGACGTGTCATGCGCCTCCAGCAGCACACGTGGCACCACCTGAGCGCCATCCTGGCGCACGGAGTCCATCCACGGCACGTCCACGTCATGCCCGCCCGCCACCTGCAGCTTGCCGCCCTCTCTGTGGTGCCAGCGGCCAGTACATAGGGGGTGAGCACATATTGGTTTGGGGCGAGAGAGAGAGAGAGAGTGGGGAGATGAGCGGAAGATGGGACGCTGGATGGTGGGGTGAGGCGGGGACGAGAAGCAAAGGCCTTATTGGTGGCGAGCGGAGTGGCTATTTTTGAAATGGTGTCATGGCATGATGATGCGGAAGGATATGGCAAGATGGCAGGCATGATATGACGTGGCATGGCATGGCATGGCATGGCATGGCATGTCATTACAGTGCGGCGGCATGCTGACCGTTTGAGTTGGAACCAGACGGGCGACACGTGCGTCAACTTGCGGCGGAACTGCCGTGCCCTGTCGTAGCCTGCGCCGTTCCTGATGGGGGCTCATGCCATGCCATGCGCGCACAGACACACAGCACAGCGAGAGTGGATGGCATTATGGCAGAGTATGGCATTGAGCCGCATTACGCGACGCTCCATGGGACAGCCCTGCACGCCATGGGTATGGCGGGCAGTTACTGGAAGCGGGGGGATTGCACGGGAGATGCGCGAGGAAGCATGGCGGAGTGCGACGGACCAGGGAGTGACGTAAGCGAGCACGGTGCCGTTGAAGTGGCGGTGCGCCGTGTCCTTCCAGTACCGCGCGTGCTCCTGCACGCCGCGCATGCCATGGCACGAGGGCGCACACAGGCATGGGGGTGAGAGACCAGCGGGAATGCGACGCGAGGCTGACAGAGCGGGGAAACAGCGAGGTGAGACGGCGCAAGAAGCACTCGACCTTGAGAATCTCGCGATACGACACGTCGGCGGTAACGAGGCGGCGCGCGAAGACGGACGACTCCACCGGCCCCTCGTCGCCAGGCGCGCTCGCCGCCGGCTGCTGCCGCCGCTTCACGCGCTTGCTGTGCGCGCCGACAGCGAGAACCGCGAGCGCCAGCAGGAGCGCGCGCGGCGTCAGCACGCAGCGAGTGGTGCGACGGAAGGGAGCCATGGGTGGGTGGCGCGAGGTGAGGAGCATGAGAGGGGGCAAGCTGTCGGATCTCTCCGCCTGCGGAATGCCTTGCATCAGGCGCCCCACGGGGTCGCTTGCGGCTGATAGCGTACACTCGCATTCTGTGAGATGCATTTGAGGGAAATAATTCGTTACCAGGATTGAAACCAAAGATCAATACAAAAATTCAATTTGCATTATCTATGCAATTTAGTAAGCATACATTGTGCGAGCTACTCCAATGTTCTAAAAAAACGAAATCCAAATTGTATGCCAGAAATTAAAAAATCAAGAGCAATACCGTACAGCTACCAATAATAGCTAGAGCAGCCTAAGCTGTCCAATCAATGCAACAAGAGACGAGGTTGAAGGGAGCACCAGAGTGGAGGCCAGCGTTGCCACGCGAGGGGGGACAAAGCTAGAGGATAGGTCCCAACCAACGGGGTATGGGAGCATGGCGGAGTGAGGTGCTTTGAAGCAGTGGCATGGCAGGGTTTGATGTGCATGAATGAACACTAGTCCGTGCCTCCACTCATGCCCCCTCGCCCACCGCTGCCGTTCTGCATCCCCACACCCCCATTGTTGCTGCCCATCCCCCCCATTGTCCCGCCCCCCAGTGGCTTCCCATTGGGCATGCCGCCCGCCCCGCCGCCCAGCGCCTGCGAGAGCAGCAGCTGGCCGAGCAGGTTGGCTTCGGGCGGCAGAGACTGCAGCCCTGCCACCTGCCCCAGCAGGTCCTTGGTGCCGGGGGCACCTGCACCCTGCCCCATCAGCAGCCGACTCAGCACCTGACTCAGCCCGCCCTGCTGTTGCTGCTGTTGCTGCTGTTGTTGCTGCTGCTGCTGGAGAGATTGTTGCTGCTGATGTTGCATCATCTGTGGTTGCTGCTGCTGCTGCTGCCGTTGCTGTTGCTGTTGCTGCTGCTGAAGCGGGGGCGGCTGTCCCCCTCCCCCCACGAGCTGCACCAGCTCCAGCAGCGACGCGCCGTTCAGCTCGCCCAGCGCGTTGGGCGCCTGGCCCTGCAGCGCGTGTTGCAGCGCCAGCTGGTTGCGCAACGTCGCGTTGAACTGCTCCAGCAGCCCCTGCCCGCCCTGCCCCGCCTGCCCTGCCTGCCCCTGCTGCTGCCCCGCCCCCTGATGCGTCTCCCCCATGCGCTGCTGCTGCTGACTCTGTAACGGGAGTGATAGCAGCGAGGATGGCTGCTGGGTCTGCTGAATGCTGCCGGGTGCGCCCTGGCCTCCGCCCATGGGCATCAGTGCGTTCCCCCCGGCCCCCAGCAGGTGCCCTAGTCCGCGCTGCTCCTGCAGGCTTCCCGCGCCCAATCCTCCCCCAACGCCCGCGCCGCCTCTGCCAGCGACGGTGGCGTCGTTCTGGCCGTGCCTCACGCCGCTTTCCACGGCGGGCGGCGAGAACGTCCCCACCTGGTCCTTGCTGCTGCTGCCGCCGTCGCCGCCCCTTCCCCCCTCCCCCGCTCCGCCATGCATCGCCTGCGGCTGACTGGGGGGCGGCGCCTGCGGCTGCGCGCCCTGGCGCTTGCGCTTCTTCTTCTCGTACGACATGCCGCGCGCCTTGCCCTGCTGCTCGCGCGTGTCGCGCAGATACACGCGCACGATGCGCGCGGCGAAGGGGTTGTTCTCGGGCTTGCCGCCGTTCTCCTCATAGGCGGCGCGCAGGCGGCCGATGAGCGAGTCGAGGCTGCCCCACGCCTGCTTCATGGGGCACGCGCAGGGGTGCGGGCCGCTGAGCCCGTAGAAGTGGCAGGCGTCGGCGTGCACCTTGGTTTTGCCGAACTGGTCGAGGTAGCGCAGGAACTCCACCACGTGCTGCGGGCTGCACCGCGACATCGCCACGGGCGGCCGGTGGTTCTTCAGGTACTGCCCGAATGTGTTCCAGTCGCGCCGCTTCTGCGACTCGTACCGGCTCGACCCCACGCGGCCCCCGCTCCGCATGCCCACCGGCCGGCCCGCGCCGTCCATTCCCATGCCCTCGTCCGCGCCGTCCTCGCCGCCCTGCTCTTGCTCGTCGCGCCCGCTTCCCCCGCCCTGCTCCCCGTCGCTGCCCTCGCTGCGCGCCACCACCCCCGCGCTTCCCGCGCCGCCTGCACCGTTCTCCGTCTTCGGCGCGACAGCGCCCGCTGATTGGTTCGCTTGGCCAGCGCCGCCGTCGGGCGCGTTGCCGGTGGAAGCCATGAGAGGCGGGCTGCGAGCGGGGGCTGTTGGAACGAGCGAGAACGAGTCGACATTGCGCCGCTCCTCCGCCGTCGCTCCGCCGGCGGGCCCCTTCCCCGGCCCCACGCCCAGCGGCCCCGGAGGGGGGCCTCCGACGAGATTGGGCATGGCGGCGGACGCGGTGGTGCCGAGGAGCGACGCGACAGACGCCGCCGACAGCTGCAGCGACCTCTGCTGCTGCTGCTGCTGAAGCTGTTGCTGATACTGCGGCTGCTGGTACTGTTGTTGTTGCTGCTGCTGTTGCTGTTGTTGCTGTTGCTGCTGCTGTTGCTGCTGCTGCGGCGTGTTGAGCGGCGGCATGTTACCACCGGACTGCGGTTGGAACGCGGCATGGCCGACCATCATGCTGAGCGACGCGTCACCGGCGGCGCCGCCCAGCGAGCCCATGAGGTCGGACGACGCCATGAGCCCCGACGACCCCATGCCGAAGTTGAGCAGCGGAAGGGCCGACCGCGCCCCCTCGCCTCCGCCCGAACCACCGGTCTCCGACTGCCCGCGGAAGTCCATCGGCGCAGCGGCGGAAGACGCGGGGAAAAGGCTGGGGGTGAAACCCCCGGGGGAAGCGGAAATGCCGCCGCCAAGTGCGGTGGTTGCAAGCGGTGCGACTTCCGACGAGCGGAAATTCGACGACGCTGGAAGCGCGAGAGTCGCCAGATCTGCAACAAGGGGAGCCCCCGCCGAAAAGCGTTACACCGTCGCGATGACACGCGATAAGATCGCGAAAGTGGCGGGACGCTGGAGTGTGTAACCTGGAAGGCAGGAGACAGTAATGAAGCAACCGAAAGAATAAGAAATAATTACACGCAGAATAATATTCTCTACAAGAAACAGCGCAACTGGCGCTTACCGGTCAAGCGAAGTTTAGCGAGGCGTGTGGAAGGAACACGAGGAACAGCTGCTGCTGCTGTCGGATCTGAGCTTATGCTGGGAGCTACACTGATGAACAGAGGGGGGTGTGGTTGGTCATGCACGAAGAGACGAGCGTGGAGCAGGTATTTGCAGGGCGTGGGTGGGATATGTTTGTCGCTGTGTTGCTCGTTGGGCTCAAATGTAGTGTTGCTTGGAAGTGTGTGAAGCGCAGCTGAACAGAAGATGCCCACAAATAGAAAAAGGAACAGGCTGAATGGCGCCGAACAAGGAAGCACAGTAGCTCGCTGCACGCAACCCCTCCACCCCAGCAGTTGACGGGGAGCTTGGGGTTGGTTGGGAGGGGAGGAACGGGCAGGGGGAGGCTTGCTTGCTGTCGTGGGGCACGGTGCAGTGCATGCAAAACCCCGCCACTCCGCTTGCTCTGCCCCGCGCGGAATCACATGTTTGAGGTGCGGGTGCTGTGGGGAAAGGTCGTTGCGCCAGGTACAGAATGGGGTGATGGCGTGGGCGATGTTGATTTATGATTTCGCATGCCCCTTGCATGTCGAAATACTGGTTGCAGTAAATAAAAAACATTACTGAAGCTGGCTGGACAGAGGTGAGTTTAGGTTATACACAGAGGGTACCATCTGGCCGGACAAAGACCACCTGAACGCCTGAAACATTAGATGACTTAATTCTAAGTGGCGGTGGAGACATTAGATCCCAGCAAGAGACCTCTAGACATGGTCGAATAGTGTATCCGCAGTGGAGATTTGGTTGGGGCAACTGGCGATTGGTTGTCGCACTGTGCGGTGGACGGGTGGCTGGGTACGAGGACGACTTCCAATCCAATCCACAAGGATAAGCGGGAGAGAGCGATCGACTCGTCCGGTCGGTGCTGAAGCAGAAACACAAGTGGTGGGATGAGGCTCCTGCGAGCAAGGCACGCACAGTTCCCACTGTAGTAGGCTCCTTCACAAGCGCAAGTTGAGTTGAGGGTCTAAAACAACACACACCCTAATGCAAACACTTAGCCCCTTGCAAAAATCAGACGCCACCAGAGTCACCGTACCGCTCTCTACAGCACGATTAATCTGTTACAGTATATGCCTCCCCTTCAGCTAGGAGGCAGCAAAATCTTTACGCCAGGAGCCTCTGGTGTGTGATTTGCTGGCCGGCTAATTTGATTGGCAAAGCCTGCAAGTAACCGTGGGCGCACAAACTATTCGTCCTGACAAGACCGCAACCACAGCACAGTGCAAACCGCGTTGCTCACAACTCAGAGACGCGTTATGCTCATCAATGCAGATTGATGTGAGACCTGGAAAGATCACGGCTCTTGGCAGCATTAAAAAAAATTGGAATTTCGACGGGGATGAACAATCACAAGTTTCCTACACTACCTAGCCCAATGCTCGCTTCAGAACTTTTGAATGTGTTTATGTAACCGAACAGTACTGCCTTGAATCTGAACAATACAGTGCGGTACGGCTCGACAGTAATAATGGATTGCGGCTTAAGTATACAGTGGAAATACTACAGTCCACTGACCACATTGTGCCAGCAGTTGCTTCAACTGTTGCAATTATTACACCTAGCCACCGCTATTTTCAATTTCCCACCTTGGCACTGTTCCCGATTTTCATATAAACCCTGCCCAGCTTTCGGGGTTTTCTGTTAGAAACCTCGGTATGGGGGACTACGAATGACGTCAAATGCTGGACGCTGGAGATTTTAATCGGGCGAGTGTAAGACAATTTCCGCTCGTGTGGAGTCTGCTTCCTGTTGCGCATCCCATTGCGCAGCTTTCAGGAGTCAGGAACAAGCTCTGCGTAGAGCGTATGACGTCCGACACAACCCTTGGTAAAAAATGTTTGAGGGGTGCATACCCCTTTGCGCACGTGGGGGTTAATAATAGACCGAAAGAAAATAGCGGTGGTTAGGTGTACATTCTGCCAGGTGTCCAGCATGTTCCCGCTCAGCTCATCTTTCGAATAAACGACAAGCTCTTAGTATCATGCAGGTTCATCCCTTCGAAGAGCGAAATTACGTAAGAAATTTCATGCTTAGAAGGAGTCGTTTGAAGTATGTTTCGCCGCAAAACACCGTCAAATCATTGTTTAAAGGTCAATTCTTGTTATAATACAACATATATTCCTGGAAAAATAATATCCACACATAGGTGAAGGTCCAGATCGACTGAAGGGGAAAAATCATATTCCTAAGGAGGAGGGGGGGATAGGGGGGGGGGGGGGGGGGGGGGGGGGGGGGGGGTGGGGGGGCTCTATGGATGGAGGATTCATATTTAGTGGACGCTCGGGTTTAAGGGACTTACGTTATGTGGGAATTTGACGCAGTGCTACGATGTATCATAAGCGTAATCCAAAGTGTTGTCAGTGTTTTTGCCATTTCCTTCACTGGCCAAACATCAAGCAAGCATTTCATCTTTTACTCTGAAGTGCTTTAACGTGTTTTTTTTTTGCTTCGTTATTTCCTTAGGTATATGAATATTGTTTTCGAAGTATTACAATTAGTCACGAATAACGTTCATGAAACCATGTTTTGTGACATGTCAAGGCCTGAATGCACCCTTATTGGCATACGCGATTCATGATTCTCTTCACCCCATGAAGAAACTCTGTATGAAAATTTATTACGCCATATCAAAGTGGACTAAAAGCATGCTGCACTTGCCTCTGTCAAAAACAGCAGGCAGAAACGAGAAACAGGAAAGAGGGGTTGCACTAGCAGGCAGTTGAGTACATATAGCAAACCCTAATTTGGGCTGTACTCGCTATAGAGTACCCCACTGCAGGCTAGACAAACATCACATTTGGACACACCCCCATAGTCATAGTGGGGTATAATCAGCACAACAAGCAGGCAGAGCAATAGTTCACAATGATAAGCAAAGCTAGAGGCAGTCACAGAGGGCAAGTGAGGAGGAGGAGGGACTGTGAGAGGAGTGGAGATAGGAGGCGTCGGGTGAAGCCGCAGACACACGGGCAACAGGAGCGGCGCGCACGGCGGCTACCGGAGCACTCAACCTCCGGACTACAGGAATAACTGGCTTCGCGCTAAGCTGCAGGCGCAACGGACCCACGGGCGACTGGCGCAGCAGGCTCGCTGGGCTGCCGGAGTACTCAACCCCCGGACTATTGGCGCTGCTGACGTCACAACGGCTACCTCTGGTCAACCTCCCCCAACTGTCCCACACCCCTTTCACACACCCCCTGCTGTACCTCTAGCACTGCTCACATGCCACCCCCCTCGTACCACTCCGACGGCTCCAACACATCCACCTCCCTCAGCGGCAGCTGCAGCAGTGGGAGACGGAGGAGGAGGAGGAGCACGGGACGACGCACACACCCGTCACCCCCATACTCGCCACCCCCACACTTGCCAGCCCCAAACCCTAACACCGGCAGGAGCGCGGGCAGCAGCGGGGGCGGTGCACGGGCAGCAGTTCGGGGGACAACGCGCGACACCCCAGGGCTCCGCGACGGGGCAGCGGGGGGCCGCGCGCGGCTCCCCAAGGCGTCGCGACGGTCGACGGGGGGGGGAAAGCACGGGTCCCCGGGGGCGACGCGACGGTCGACAGGGGGGAACGCGCGGGTTCCCTGGGGCGATGCGACGGTCGACGAGGGGGAATGCGCGGGTCCCCGGGGTGACGCACAAGCCAGTAAACCGCCGTGCGCCTCGGGGCACACGGCGGGCAGAAAACCGCCGCGCGCCCCGAGCGCGCGACGGGCAGAAAACCGCCATGCGCCGGAGCACGTGGCGGGAATGAAAAAAAAAAAAAAAAAGGTGCGCGACAGACAGGATAGCAGCGGAAGCTAACGGTGGGCCCACAGGCCAGGAGCGTAACTGTTAAAATATTTTTATATTATAATGTAAATGCATGTAACTTAGCTAGTGTAGTATCATTTAGAATTCTATTGTTGGTAGTATACCCCTTTTAGCCACCATCCCTACCACTATATCTTGTATCTCTCTCATAGTGCACCCCCTTCTATGGCCAAACCTCTCACCACTACCCTACTTCCTATCCTAGCTATGGCTACTAATATCTAAGCCTATGCTAGCTGTCTTGACATGGTACAGAGCAGTAATCGGTCCTAAGGACCTATTTTTTTGTAAGAACTATGGGCCCGCCCACGCTGCAGCGCGAAATGCGCTATTCCTTATCGTTTTTGTCGTCGCCCTGCAATCCGCCCGCCCTGTCCGTCGCGTCTCGCGCCCACCCCCCCCCGCGCCCTGCCCGTTCGTCGCGCAGCCCGCCCATCGCCTCGCCAGGCGCCAGTGCGGACGTCCGCGACGTGCGTCAGCGCGGACGCCAGCGGCCCGCGGACAGCGCCAGCGCCAGACGCCGCCGCCTGCGCCAGCGCCAGCGCCAGACGCCGCCGCCTGCGCCAGCGCCAACGCCAGACGCCGCCGCCTGCGCCAGCGCCAGCGCCAGACGCCGCCGCCAGCGCCAGCGCCAACGCCAGTGCCAGACGCCAGCGCCAACAGCAGCTGATGCCGCCCCCCTTCCCTCTTCCTCTTTCCCTGCAGCACATGTTGCTGTAGGGGGGGGGGGGAGGAGAAAGGTTAAGGGGGGATGTGAGATGTGAAGGGGCTGGAAAATGAGTGAGAGAGTGTGTGTGTGGTTCTTCTTTCTGTTTCTTGTTTCACCTTTCGTGTCGTGTCGTTTTCGTCGTTTCCGGGTGTGTACGCCCCTTGTCGCGCACACCGGGCATCCACTGCGGGGGTTAAACCGCAGGCAGGCATTCCATCGTGTGTTGTATCGGTGGGCCTAGCTGCGGCCCGGTGAAGTCTGCACTTGGGTTACGTCTCGCCCCTATACTAGCTTATGCTACATGCAGTTAAGGGGGGATGTTAAAATATATTTATATTATAATGTAATTGCATCTAACTTAGCTAGTGTAGTATCATTTAGAATTCTATTGTTGGTGGTATACCCCTTTTAGCCACCATCCCTACCACTATATCTTGTATCTCTCTCATAGTGCACCCCCTTCTTTGGCCAAATTTCTCACCACTACCCTACTTCCTATCCTAGCTATGGCTACTAATATCTAAGCCTATGCTAGCTGTCTTGACAGTAACCGCTCTGATAGCATGTCAAAAACAGCAGGCAGAAATGAGAAACAGGAAAGAGGGGTTGCACCAGCAGGCAGTTGAGCACATATAGCAAACCCTAATTTTAGCTCTATGGATGGAGGATTCATATTTAGTGGACGCTCGGGTTTAAGGGACTTACGTTATGTGGGAATTTGACGCAGTGCTACGATGTATCATAAGCGTAATCCAAAGTGTTGTCAGTGTTTTTGCCATTTCCTTCACTGGCCAAACATCAAGCAAGCATTTCATCTTTTACTCTGAAGTGCTTTAACGTGTTTTTTTTTTGCTTCGTTATTTCCTTAGGTATATGAATATTGTTTTCGAAGTATTACAATTAGTCACGAATAACGTTCATGAAACCATGTTTTGTGACATGTCAAGGCCTGAATGCACCCTTATTGGCATACGCGATTCATGATTCTCTTCACCCCATGAAGAAACTCTGTATGAAAGTTTATTACGCCATATCA